AGACACAACTGACAGAAGCAGTTCCAAAACCGAAAGCACCTAATCTACTTTAAGTACTTCAGTAAATTTAGTTCCTGAAAGTCTACTTATGTGTCATCACTCATAAATAAAACTGTACTTTTGGCATTAATCCATCCAGTCTTCATGAGGATTTATTCTAGTCTATGTTGCTCTGGGTGGAATGAGGTCAAAGTCTAAAATGGAAGCTGACTGTAACAAATAAAAGTTTAGCTTTATTTAATATTCAAGTTAATGTTCAAAGTTTATTTTTAAGTAAATTAGCTATTTCAAACACTAGTGTATTATTAATTCGTTTTAGTTGATGATGATGGTTATTATTATTATTATTATTATTATTATTATTATTATTATTATTATTATTATTAACAATATTATTGTTATAAACAATTTGGCTTTTCACTCATTTCACATGAAGTGATTTGTAGTAGCTGCCTTTGCTGTGTGCATCTTTGTGCCCACCATTTCCTGCAAGCAGGAATCACATGTGTATTCATTCATGAGCTTTGTTTCTGAGATGTTGTATAATCTCAGAAATTTTATTTGTATTCATGGCATTCTGAATATTAACAACTTGATGGAAATTGGCAACTATATTGAGACCTTTACGATGACATTCATAGAAAACACTGGTGACACCAGTGATAACTAGGCTTAAAGCTTTATAAAACAATAGCGGTTACGACGTCCTTTTGACATGGTGTAAGATGTGAAGATTCTTTTTTTTTTTTTTATGTGCTGCAGTGCTTTTTTTACCGTCCTCAAGCTGCTCTCCCAGTTAGGAGCTCAGTCTGAGGATAGTTCTCTTTTCTCCCCATGACCCTGATGTTGTTTAATTTCATTGTTATTCTTATCATTTTACCTCTCTCCAACCTGTCCTCCCAACGAGCCATGGATGTATGGTCGGAAGGGGTCCAACCTTCGCTGCACATGACAAAAAATGAAGTTCATTTATTATTGATGCACATTGTTTATTTCCTTAATTCTTTCCTGTATTGCTTGAACATGAAGAAAACTGTGACTTCATCTTATTAATAAATGACAATGAAAACTATTTGTGACTGTTTCTGCAGTTTTCCCTCTTGGAAGTTTCGGCCATTTTAAAATGATACATGGCTGGCTGGACTCTTTCATAGCTGCATTTGGTTTCCTTAACTAGGCCAAGTTGTTTAATATTTTAAGAGCTTGCTGTTCTAGTTCACAAAAAGTGCTTAAACCATGTACCTTCAGAAAAAAGTGTGCAGTTTTATTCCCAGTTGGTTTAAAAGCTGTGAAGCTGCCATTGTTTTTCCCACTCTCGTTTTAACCTTACAAATGTACGAATGTGTAGTGGTTAACGAGCTGTATCATCAATGAAATGTTGAAATATCAGGCCAAACAACACGCACCATTCTCACGATGCTGTTTCTGCTTTTGTAACAAAGCTATTTGATGGTATTGAGATAACTGAAACCAAAGGTAAATACATTCAACATGGATATTTTAATCTTTTCTCATCACTTATAAAAGTTTCCATCTGAGATGCATTTCTTACAGATTTTAGGAAGTTTAGATTGTCATTTTACAGTAAGTCTATCTGACTTAAGTGTTTAAAACCATCTGCAAAGTTAAGCATCTTAGTGACACATCCATCCATCCATCTTCATCCGCTTTATCCGGGGCCGGGTCGCGGGGACAGCAGCCTAAGCAGAGAAGCCCAGACCTCCATCTCCCCAGCCACCTCCTCCAGCTTATCCGGGGGAACACCAAGGCATTCCCAGGCCAGCCGAGAGATATAATCTCTCCAGCGTGTCCTGGTTCTGCCCCGAGGCCTCCTCCTGCTGGGACATATCCGGAACACCTCACCCAGGGTGCATCCTTGTCAGATGCCCAAAACACCTCAGCTGGCTCCTTTCGATGTGGAGGAGCAGCAGCTCTACTCTGAGCCCCTCCCGGATGGCCGAACCTCTCACCCTATCTTTAAGGGAGAGGCCAGCCTCCCTTCGGAGGAAGCTCATTTCCGCTGTTTGTATCGTTCTTTTGGTCACTACACAGAGCTATTGGCCATAGGTGAGGGTAGGGATGTAGATCGACCGGTAAATTGAGAGCTTCGCTTTTACACTCACCTCCCTCTTCACCACGATGGACCGGTGCAGCGTCTGCATCACTGCAGCTGCTGCCCCAATCCGTCTGTCGATCTCCGACTCCCTTCTCCCATCACTCGTGAACAAGACCCCGAGATACTTGAACTCCTCCACTTGGGGCAGGAACTCATCCCCGACCCGGAGTGGGCACTCCACCCTTTTCCGGCTGAGAACCATGGCCTCAGATTTGAAGATGCTGATCCTCATTCCCGCTGCTTCACACTCGGCTGCGAACCGTTCCAGTGCGCGCTGGAGGCCCTCACCCGATGAAGCCAACTGAACCACATCATGTGCAAAAAGCAGAGATGAGATTCTGAGGCCACTGAAGTGAAAGCCCTCTGCCACTTGTGATTGTGATCCCCCTGTAGTTGGAACACACCCTCTGGTCCTCCTTCTTAAAGATGGGGACCACCACCCCAGTCTGCCAGTTCAGGGGTACTGCCCCTGATCTCCACGTAACATTGTAGAGGCGTGTCAACCAGGACAGCCCCACAACGTCCAGAGCCTTCAGGAACTCGGGGCGGACCTCATCAACAGCAGGGGCTCTGCCACCAAGGAGTTGTTTAACTTACTCAGTGACCTCGCCTGCGGAAATTGGCGGGTTATTCCCCTCATCTCCAGACTCTGCTTCCTCCTCAGAAGACGAAGTATTCCTTCCACCGCCTGACAATTTTCTCAGTCAAAGTCAGCAGCGCTCCGCCAGCACTATACACAGTGCAAGTAGAGCACCGCTGTCCCCTCCTGAGACGCCTGACGGTTTGCTAGCACCAACCACCTTGCAGCCGCAGCTCAATGCAGCAGCTTCGGCATCTTAGTGACACATCACAGTCCTATTAAAAAAGTTCAGCTTAAAAACTAAAATTTAAACATAAAACATTTAAAAGTTCTAAAATGATAGCAATTAACATACATGGAAAGAAAACAAATGCTTGTATGTAAATGTGTAAAAAAACAAATTTTTAAAAAAGTCGAGATCTGCTTGTGCGCTATATATTCTTGAAATATAAGAAAAGGCACAAAGATAAAACCATAAATGTATATTTTCAGAAATATAAATAACATGCTGTTAAGTGTGTTTGATTGACCATCATCCAAAATTAAGACGGTTAAAAAAGACCTCATTATGAGTAAGTAGCCTGTGTGCTGGTTTGTGGTGTTAGATGTCATTGCTTTCTTGACGTTGGCTCTGTGTAATCCAATACAAAAGGGTAGCAATATGTTTCAGATGAGAAAAAGTATTTATAGAAAAACAGTGGGGTACCTTTTTATGCCATTGAGACTCAATTTGAGACTACTGTGTGGTTAGCAAGTTTTTTAACTGACCTCCCAGTCCATTGTTCACCAGTGATGCTAAGTTTCAGTCATTGAGCAAAGGTACGATTTATAAGGTTGGGAAACCTGAAGTCAGCTGAGGCTGAAGAGGTCAAATGGGCGACATACTTATCGCATGTTAGATCATAACATGTGGAGAAGATGGCGCCGGTGCGTGTGGCTTGCCGTCTATCACTGCCAGTGTTATGTTTGTTTGTTTTGATTTTATTGACTATTGTAATAAATGCCAACTCTCTCTTGGTGTATGGTCGCCTAACCCTACTGGATCTCTGACCTTCTGCCAAAGGCTGGGCAAAGTGGAACCAAACTGGACATAAAACTTTGCCCCCGCTAATATCGGAGATCCCGGCTCACCTTGGGCCGTGTTCCAGATCCACCACTCCGGCTTAAGTGCCGTCGCCGGGGTCGAAGGGCTGGCTTCCTGGTGAAGCTGAAAGCTTCTTTAAGGTATTCTCTTAAGCCCTTATCCAGAAAACAAGGGGCGGTGCCAAACTTCTGTTTCTCTCGGCAATCGTTGGAACCTGTTGGTACCTGGCTGGTACCTGTCATCGGCCCGGATGGGATGTTCCAGTCCCGAAAACCCTGCTATCCTCGCCCCCCCAGCGTGGTGTAAATCTGTGTCGGGCTTCTAGGACGGCTAGCGACGGGAATCCGCCGCTTACCGCCAGGATTGGCCTGGTAAATGCTAGGTCCCTACCGAACAAAACGTTTATCCTGAAGGATTTTTTTCACATCCCGAGGACTGGATTTTCTCTGTGTGTGCGAGACGTGGCTGAGCGCTGGTGAGTGTAGCATCTTCTACCTGGCGATTGCTGCTATTTTAATTCCCCACGTATGTTGGGCCGAGGAGGAGGAATAGCTACGATGTTTAAAAGTCATTTTAAATGTAAGCAGCTATCAACCCCGTCGTTTACCAGCTTTGAACTGTCTGTGTTTGAGCTGGGCTGCTCTCACACAGTGTTGTGTGCGGTGGTTTATCGGCCTCCAAAATGCAATAAGGATTTTGTGAGTGATTTTGCTGACTTCTTGGCTGAATTCATGCCAAAATATGATCGTGTTCTTATTGTTGGGGATTTTAATATTCACGTGTGTTGTCCTGATATGCCCATGGCGAAGGGCTTTTTAAACCTTATTGATTCGTTTAATCTGGTGCAATGTGTGACAGGTCCCACACATGAACGTGGACACACACTTGATCTTGTTTTATCTCATGGCTTTTCTGTTTTTAACATAGAGATTTGTGATGCTGTGTTTTCTGACCACAGTCCTGTGATGTTTGAAGTTCCTCTTGCCTGTGCCTCAGGTAAACCTCGCGCTGCTGCTCAGCTCTGTCGTGTTTTTAACTCCTCCACTGCTGAGCACTTTTCAAGAGTCTTTGACCAGATCTGTAAGATCCCGGATTTTTTATGCAGCCAGACTGAGGAACTGAGCTCATGGTTTTATTCCACCTGTCGGACTGCTTTGGACACTGTGGCTCCATTAAAAACCAGACTGCCTAAAAGGAAATCTGAGCCCTGGCTGAACGACATGACTCGAGCTGTCAGACTCGACTGCTGTCGAGCTGAGCGCAAGTGGAAAAAGGACAAACTACAAGTGTCATTCCAGATGCTGTAAAAGATGCCAAAAGAAAACACTTATCTGACATTATTTTGTCAAACTGCCACAACCCACGTGTTTTATTTAAAACTATTAACTCTGTTCTTAGTGCACCATATACTGACTGTATCGAGCCCTCATCAGAAGCCTGTGAAAATTTTTTACACTTTTTTATTGAGAAGGTCTCCTCCACAAGGGCTCAAATCTATCCTCATGCTCACGACCTCTCAGTCTCTGTTTCCTGCTCTGCTGTCTTTGACAGGTTTGAGCCTGTGACTCTGTCCTTTTTAAAGGAGACTGTTGGTCATCTTAAGCCTGCAGGGTCTCCAAATGATGCTGTCCCTCCTCGATTTTTAAGAGGTGTTACCTACAGTTGGTCCTTTGGTTCTTGAGCTGGTAAACCATAGTCTGATGTCAGATGTTGTCCCTAAAGATTTTAAACATGCAGTAGTCAAACCCCTGATTAAAAAAACCTGCTCTTGATCCTACGGTTCTTGCAAATTACAGGCCTATCTCCAAACTACCTTTTATTTCCAAAATTCTTCAAAAGGTAGTTTACAGCCAAATAATGGCCTTCCTGGAAAAGCAAAATGTGTTAGAGGTTTTCCAATCTGGTTTTAAACCCTTTCATAGCACTGAATCAGCCCTTTTAAAAGTTTTTAATGACATATTTTTAGCGACTGATGCTGGGGACTGTGTTGTTCTTGTGCTTTTAGATTTGACAGCTGCATTTGATACCGTGGATCATGCCATTTTATTCTCTTGTTTGGAGCACTGGGTGGGCATTAGGGGCACAGCACTGGAGTGGTTCAGGTCCTACTTGGCGGGGCGAACTTTTTGTGTCGTCCTCGGCTCCCCTCTTGTGTGGTGTCCCACAGGGCTCAGTTCTAGACCCCCTCCTCTTCTCTTTATATCTGCTTCCTCTTGGTTCTGTACTGAGAAAGCACGGCATTGCTTTCCACTTTTATGCTGATGACTGTCAGATCTATATCCCTCTAAAGAAAAAAGGCAGATACTTTACACAGCCATTACTTCAGTGTCTCGATGACATTAAGGCTTGGATGTCTGTTAACTTTTTAAAATTCAATGATAAAAAGACAGAGGTGATGGTTTTTGGTAGCTCCACTGAGACCCCCAATGTGTATGTAGATTCCCTGACCCAGTATGTTAAGCCAACTGTCACAAACCTGGGGGTCAAAGTGGACTTTGATCTGAAGTTTGATAATCAAATTAAGGCAGTGGTAAAATTTAGCTTCTTTCACATCAGGCAGCTGGCAAAAATAAAGCCAATTCTTTCACGGCAGCACTTTAAGACAATGATCCACGCCTTTGTTAGCACTCGGCTGGATTACTGTAATGCACTTTATATTGGGGTCAGCGCATCATATATTACTCATCTACAGAGGGTGCAAAATGCCGCAGCTCGTCTTTTAACTGGCACTCGAAAGTTTGAGCACATTTCCCCTGTTTTAGCTTCACTTCACTGGTTGCCCGTTTCTTTTAGGATTTATTTTAAAATTCTTTTATTTACTTTTAAAGCTCTCCATGGACTCGCCCCATCGTATCTCTCTGAGCTGCTACAGCCTTATACACCCCGTCTCAGGTCAGCTGATCAGCTGCTCCTGAAGATACCCAGGACTGGGCGTAAACTTAGAGGAGATCGTGCTTTTGCTGTAGCAGCTTCAAAACTGTGGAACGAGCTTCCTTTAGAGATTAGACAGGCCAATTCTTTATCTGTTTTTAAGTCACTCTTGAAAACCCACCTCTTTACCCTGCCTTTGACACCACGTGAGATGTTGGTTTTTATTTTTTTTATTTTTTTTATTTCAGTTGTTTTTAGGTGATTCAATGCTGTTTTATCTTGTTTTTGTTTTAATATAGGGCTGTTTTAATTTTATGTTTTATGTGTTTTATTTATTTGTTGTGCTGTTTTCTGTTATTCTATTGTTTTAACTTATTTTCTGTACAGCACTTTGTTCCTGTGCTGGGTATTTTAAAGTGCTTTATAAATAAAATTGGATTGGATTGGATTGGCGTGACACAACGTTTCTCTCACTGAAAACGCTACTTACAGATGAACAGAATCAAATTTTGGGGATTTCCTTAGCTGGATGATTGAGCATTCATCAAGATGCATCAAGTTAACCACCACCTCTGTTTTCTTGCTGACATTCAGATGGCGGTGATTTCTTCTGGACTACTCTACAGAGCTCCCTGTACTCCGGCTCCTACCTACCCTTAATACATCCAACTACTGTGGTGCCATCAGAGAACTTCTGCAGGTGGAGTGTTTCACTGTCGCACTGGTAATCTGAGGTGTACAAATTACAAAGGAATAATACTTTATGGTCAGTTTGACCATTCAGACGTTTTGCACTCTAACTCTATAAAACTATTTCCAGTAAACAGTTTTCTTCATTCATCCATTTTAATCTAACCTAGCATTTACTCTAGTCTATGTTGCTCTGAATGGAATGAACAGTGCTGTAATTGAACTTTATTTAAGTATTACAACAATAAAAATAAGAGAACTTTATTAATCCCAGAGGAGATTTTGTGGTAAGAGTTGTTCTTGTCTTTATTGTCTTGGAAATTCTCATGAAGGCTGAATGGATTGGTGCCAAAAGTACAGTTTCATGTATGAGTACTGATGAGTAATGGCTTGGTGTGTAAATAGTTACACACAAAGCCAGTTAATTTAGATCTTGAAAGTCTAGTTACACACCCAGACATCAATCAACATCAGTCATACATAAAACTGTACTTTTGGCAGCAATCCATCCAGCCTTCATAAACATTTCTTCTAGTCTCTGTTGCTCTGGATGGAATGATGAGTGCTGTAGTTTAACTTTATTTAAATCTTAAAACAATCAGAAACAGAGTACTTTATTAATCCCAGAGGACATTTTGTCTTAATAGTTGGTCCTGTCCTTATTGTCTTGGAGCAACTGTGATCACATAATTTTCTCAGGGATTAATAAAGTCTTCAAGAGGAAATGCTTGTGAAGGGATCGCTGCCAAAAGTACAGTTTCATGTATGAGTGATGGCTCTGTGTGTACGCAGACTTTCAGGTACCAAATTAAAAATGATAAAGTCTGTCTCCTCTCAGCTTGTATATCTTGTATGTTGTCCAAGGTTTAAGCATTTGATCAGATTATTTGGGGAATGGTGCTGTTGTCCTGTTGCTATAAGTTAAATTAAAGAATTAGGCCTAAATGTTATAACAGAAAACTTGAAGCAACAATTATTCAGAGGATTGTTTGAATTTCCCGAACTGGTTTCTGTGTTTCCCAGAAAGTACAGGGCAAACCACATATATGTTGAAGATTTTTATATTCGTTTAAAGGGGTTGGTATAAAAACAAAAAAATGAAAAACTGATAGCAGTCAAGGATTCAGTTTACTTCCTCGTATTCATCATTAATTCACACAAATAACATGATTCAAACCAAAACCCTGCGACAAAACAGCCTTTCTCTTGCAAAGGGCTGTTATCCCTTTTTCCTTGACAGTGCTTCAAGGTGAAAAAAACAATACTTAACCCTTGGATGCGCAACCTACCAATACCTACACTCTTCCACGAGAGGGGTCAAAAATGACCCCAAATAGAAACAATGCATTTTGCTATAAACTCAGATGTTATTCTTCAAAATCTTTAAAAAAAAGGGGTTGTAAGATTGTCATATTTGAGGTATTCCTCATAAAACATGATTGTGACATGAGGCCCTTTGCATTTTTATTTATTCTTTCATTAATTTTAAGAAATTGCAGTTTTTTATATCACTTGTATCACTTTTGTATGCTTGCTTGACATATACTGCAGAAGCTGGGTCTTCCCTCTGAAAGGCACAATTTGTTCAGCCACTGTAACACAATCACTGAGGATGAATTTCTGTCGACAGTTGACCAGGAACAGGCCCCATATGTAGCAGAAAGCTGCCATGTGGTTTGTTTTCAGTCGGTAGGCTCTGCTCTTCTTGTCATCAAAGTGCAAGAAACGGCAAATATCTTTAAATCTTTGAATTAACATAATGGCCTTGTACAATGGGTTATGCAGAGGACTCCCCAAAAACACACAGACTGGTACATCCCAGTTCTTCTCACTTCCTGCAAGAATGGTCAGTGAAATGAAGGCCAGGAGCTTATGTTCGATTACATTTTCCACTCTTTTCCCCTGTCTGTGGCTACTCTTCATGCCTCCATGTTTGTGCATGTCAGAACCTCTTCTATTATATTATCAGACATGAACATCTTCCATGCATCTATTGGGGAGACAGTACTAAACCCAGGTGCAAGCCCTGGCTGACTAATTCAGAATATTGTGGCTAGAGCAGTAAGAGGGGCTCATTCTGTTAGACTCAATATCCATTTCCTCTTCAGAGGACTCATCAGAGGACTCCTCTGTATCTGACTGGCTTTGTTCAGTGGGGGGCACAATAGTCTGGGTCCTGTATATCTTAGATGTCAGATTCTGAGTCAATGCCTCCGATGGGTTCTTCATCCCATCCGTCCAGGATCACTTGTAGGGCAAGATCCACAGGGATCCTATTTGAACTCATAGCAGCCATGTTGCTTTAGATATTTAAAAAAAAACTTCAGAAAGGACAATGTTTGAAATGCACAGGAAACTATAAACAGGGCTGCACATAAATGCTCCGCAGGTGCGCATTCGCTGTCAAAATAAAAGACATGTACCAGATAAGAAGTTGGAACTCGCGTTTGCGTACATAAGATGTTCTGGAGGAGGACAGACATTTGTTCAGAACTCTTAAAGATGTCGAAGAACCAAACTCCCTAAGCAATTACTTTGTTGTTCCTCCACCGCAAAAGAAGCACGTATTCTCTGAATTTCCGGGAATACTTTAATTTGACAGCGAATGCGTACCTGTGGACCACTTATGTGCAGCCCTGAGTATAAATCGTGTATGTTACTTTGTAAAAATTAATTCCCTTTTCTATCAGAAGTGTAAGTGGGACAGTCAGAGTTGCTAAGAATGAAAGTTTCATACAAGATTCCTTAGGAACTCCTTGGGGTCATTTTTGACCCCACTTGTGGAAGAGTGGGGTAGTGATACAAAAACTGCATTTTTATTTTTAATTAATGAAAAAATTAATAAAAATGCAAATGGCCTCATGTTACAAACATATTTTATGAGGAATACCTGGAATATGAATATATTACAACTTTTCATTTTAAAGATTTTGAAGAAAAACAACATGTGGGGTCAAATATGACTCCACATGTGCATCTAAGGGTTAAAAACAAACAAACATAGAGATCATTCCATGTAATTATTTTGCAGTGATGAATATCTAGTCACATGTCTTATGGAGGTGTTTTCCAGCCAGCAGCAGGGTTGGGCTGAGGGAATAAAAAGAGGGAGGGTGAGCTGAGCTGCATCTGATAACAGGTTGAACGGAGGCAAAGGTACATCAAAGGTAAGACACTGTGCTGTGCGGAAAAATTAGCCTTAGTCTAAAATAGAAGCTGACAGTAGAAATTAAAAGTTTAGCATTACTTAATTTTTATATCAGTGTTCAAAGTTTATTTTTATGTCAATTTGCCATTTCAAACACTAGTGTATTATTAATTCATTGTAGTCAACTAATTGATTGATTATTATTATTATTATTATTATTATTATTATTATTATTATTATTATTATTATTATTATTATTATGATTATAGTTGTTATAAACATTGTGGCTTTTTTGCTCATTTCAGATGAAGTGGTTTGTAGCAGCTGCCTTTACTGTGTGCATCTTTGTCCCCCCTTCCTGGGAACAGGAACCATGTGTGTATTCATTGATGAGAATATTTTGTGAGATATTTTGAAAGAAGTGTTCCACAATATTTCTACTCATGGCATTCTGAATGTTAACTTTTTTCCCTTCTCATCCAGCCTGGTGTTATCACCTTCCGTCATGCAGTAAGTACCAAGTACATCTATTATCTATTATATGTTGCCCACTGGTGACTGCACTTCAGTGACTTTATGTATCCTTTTTGTTTATAGATGAGCCCAACTGGTCAAAATACCCCAACTGCAGCGGAACTCGACAGTCACCCATTAACATCGTCTCCGAATCTGCCAAACCGAACAACAACCTGTCTGAAATTCATTTTGAAAACTCCTCCAATATTATGTCCATTAAAAATAATGGGGAAACAGGTGAGAATGGTTCTTATACAGCGCTTTTCTACTCTGAGCACTCAGAACTGGGTTTATGGCTTTAAGATAAGATAAGATAAGATAAGATACCTTTATTAGTCCCACAAGGGGAAATTTCATGTTAAGGTTGCCGACCTATTGCATGCAATGGAGGCACCATCTTACCCTCCGACCATACATACATTACACAAAAACATCACATGGGAAAGACAGGTCAGAGAGGTATAACAATGGAAAATGCACCACATGAGGAAAGATAAGGAGAAAAAATAACTCCCCCCAGACTGAGCTCTAACGGGGGGTTCAGTTTGAGAACAGAAAAAAAAACACCTCTGCACATAGCACATGAAAAAACTCTTAATACACCAAAGAAACACATGACAAGCAAAAGGGGTGGGTAAAGGGTGAGAGACAGCCAATATAGACAGTGCATCCGGGCCTGCAGCATAAGCGCTGGTCTCCTTGATCCACCGTCAGCATCGGAGGGGAATAAGCGTCGAAGGCGTTTGGAGGGGGAGGGGGGATGAGTGTACATCTGCATGTGTATATATGTCTGTGTGCGTATGTGTGTGTCCAGAGTTCAGCTGAGACAGTGTCCTTCGCCCTGCCAGGCTAAGTAAACAGTCTTCCAGCCAACCCAGGTAGAATGGGAAGAACAATCTAAACACAGTCGTTATCAGGGTGTTTTTGTTTGGCTCCAGCCTTGAGACCGCAGCTGGCGCCGAAAGGGTATCCGCATGAAGTGCTGGTGTTTTTTACTTTAGTGTGAACAACTCATATGAATTTCAAAGCTGTTCTAACAGTCCAACACTGGTCTCTCAATCTCCCGTTGGAGAGCCACGAGCTTCTCCATGATGTTATCAACCTTACACTCGGTGATGTTGTCATTCTTGTGCTCAAAGAGCCGATTCTGAGAACTCACGACCACAGTGAGCTTCTCCAAGATGTAATCCAGTTTGCACTCAGAGATTTTATTCTGATTATTCACGTCAGCCGTAAGCTTCTCCAAGATCTTATCCATGCTGCACTCAATGAGCCCATTTTGATAAACTCACTCCTCGTCCTATTGTTTCAATCCCAGCGGGCAGCCTTGTGGGGGTTTGAACAGCCGGTTCCGCTTTCTTAATTCTTCGATAAGTCAGGGCCAAGCCAGCTCCAATCAGCAAGAACCCTGTTATCGTGGTTCTGAATAGGTAGATATCTTCAGCGTCCTCGATCGACAGTCCCGCCGGGCACACGAGCCTCCATGTCTGCCACCCGTCCATCGTGTATCCGGCAGGGAAAGTACCTCCAGGGCACTCGGGCTGTCCCGAGCCCAGACTTCTCGTTGAGAAAGGGGTGTCAATAGCATTCAGAGACCAGTTAATCAAATCCATAGTTCTCTTTTAGGTTTTAGAAACAGACTGTGAAGAGAGTGTTCCAAGGAAAAGTAAAAACAAAAAGTAAAAAGCGACCACCTTCGTCAAGAGCAAAAAACAGAAAGTAGTGGCTACAAAAATGTTTTTGTCCCCTGAAAGTTCTGTTTTTGACTTACTTTAGCAACTACAAAACAAACAAAATAACAAAAAAATGCTAAATTGTCTAACTGGAATTTCAATGCAGTTCCCTATCCTAAAATTAAATGCACCAGCCTTCCACCTGAGCATTTTCTCTTAGGTCTCACAGGTTTGGTATAAATTCATCCTGTTTTTGTATTTCCATTCTCTTACAGTCAGAGTTAACCTTACGAAAGAAGTTAACATTACAGGAGGGACTGGCCTTGCGCCTGAATGTTTCCTCTGACTCCTCGCAGGTTAGCTGTAACTTTATCGTGTTTTTGTTTTTTCACCTTCTTTCAGTCCAAGTGATGCTTGAGAGCGGAGTTAAGATTTCAGGAGGGAACCTGTCCGGAGAATATGACACCGTGCAATTCCACTTCCACTGGGGCAACGGCTCCTCTGTCCCCGGCTCAGAGCACACGGTGGATGGAAAGCGCTATCCTATGGAGGCACAGATTTTTTTCATTTTGTATTGATGATATTGACATTTCTTTTTGCTAATAAAATTTTAATATTGATATTAAAAACAAGAAAAAATCCAACTAAATAACTTAATTTTCCCAGTTGCATATTGTGAACACCATGCCAATCTACAATCGGAATATGACTCAAGCTGCTGAAGATCCCACCGGAATTGCTGCACTTGGTTTCTTTATTGAGGTGAGAGAAGCAGCACACAAGTTTTTATAATGCCTGCTGTCTACTTCAGATATAGAGATACAGTAATTATTATGTATTACAACTGCAGCTGGGTTTTCCCTGAAAGACCTGCTTGGCAATGTGTCTCTCTCTAAGTATTACCGCTACCTTGGATCTTTGACGACCCCCCTTTGTAATGAGGCGGTGGTCTGGACCGTTTTTAAGGAACCAATTAAAGTCAGCAAAGATCTGGTAGGTGTTATTTCATTTCTTCCTTGTGTCTCCTAATTATCATTGCTGCAAACACATAAACACTGTTAGTGGTTCATGGAGCTAACTGGAAACAAAAAAATGTCTCACTACCAGATTGACCTCTTCAGCACCACACTGCACTTCAACGACAGCACATCACAACTCATGACAAACATCTACAGAAGTGTACAAAACCAAAGAGATAGAATAGTCTGGACTCAGAGGAGCAACAGTTCTGCCTCCACAACCTGCTTCTCCTTGGGTCTGCTGCTCCTCAGCCTTACACTGAGCTCGAGTTGGAGCTAAAATAGAAAGAGGACATCATCAGCAACTTTGCTGATCAACCTGTTGCCTCACTTCAGCACATGCATTCTTTCCCCATTTAATTAAAACTGAGCTTCGCTGATTTCTAATGTAGCTCTTTATGTTTGACATAATCATAAAAAGTGTGAAAAGTAATTTATGAAGGTGAAGGCTTCCTCTGCTCCCATGATTTTTCTGCTATTTCTTGATTATGGCTACCTGCTACAAAGAACTTGCCTGTTGTTACATATCAGTCTAGTTTACTTTAAGCAATGGCATGCACAAGTTTTCATTTTGCCTCCATCAGTGCAGCTACTAATGCATTTAAAGTGCACTGGTAGCTAAAACCACAAAATGGAAAATGAAAACCTGATGACTCATTTATGAAGTTCATGTTATGAAGGCTTTGTGTGTTACTTTCTTAGATGAACAAAATTATTTATCAGGGATGCATATTGTTTATGTCCTTAATACTGTACTGTATTGCATGAAATGAAGAAAACTGTGACCTTCCTGATCTTATTAAATGACAATTAAAATTATTTATCACTCTTTCTTGAGTTTTACTGTCTTTTTTAAATTCTTGGAGGTTTCTGGGACTTTTAAAATGATACATAGCTCTTTCATAAGCTCTGCATTTGCTACCCTTAATTAGTGGAAGCCATCTGAGCCTTTGAGAGCTTGCTATTCTAGTTCTGAAAACACAAAAGTCCCCAGTTTTATTCTCTGTTGGTTCAAAACTTGTGATGCCGCCAAGTAAGGACATTCTGTACTTAAGTAGAAGTACAAATACTACTGTTAAAAAGTATTTCAGTAAAAGTTGAAGTACTGTTTCAACTTCTTGACTCAAGTAGAAGTAAAAAAATGTACAGGCTCCGAAATGTACTCAAAGTAATTAAAAAGTAGCTCTTTGGAGGATGTTTCTGTTTTTGTGTCCTATATTAACACAATTATAAAATAACTTTAGTCTAACCGTTTTTTATTCTAATTGTGCCCAGCTCAGATCTGAAGAGATAAAAAGGGAAATAAAAATACTCTATTTTCTGTTGCCTACATTGTAGAGGATGTCTTTGAATCTAAGCAGAAAAATTGGTACATTTAGAGGTTAAAGTGGATTCAGCAGGTGGGGGAACTCTAAAATCAGTTGTAGTGGCTCAGTGTGGGTAAAAGAATCACAACTCACAATAATTTCTATTGAGCACTACAGTAGATTTTCCTGATGTACATGCTTTGATCAGCTGACCTTTGTGGATTTACACAACTAAATTGTACCACCTCAACTGCACACTTTTCATGAGTTGTCCTGGCTGATTTCCATTGCCCACACTGACTGTATGCATTTCTAGACTCTAGAAAGTTGATACAAAGGTTGAATTCAGTCACTGGATCTAATCAGGCTACTAGCATCAGCTAAATTTATACAAATCTCTGCTACCCTTTATGTAACCTGAATGACCATGAGCAATACAGCCACTTATAGCAGTCCCACACACTGTTCTTTACTTTAACCTCTTAGGACCTGGCATCCACACATGTGGGCATCACATTTTGGGTTATTTAGACCAAAATACTCAATTTTGCTCTACAAGGGCCTGATATCCACTTACGAGGACATTATACTGCTACTGTTCTATTGAAAATTTAAAAAAATATCCTCATATATGGCTCTCATTTTTCTTAGAAACAAAAATTAGGTAAAAAAAAAAATCTGGTAATTCTTTGTTTTTACATTCATCAGGTCCCAATCAGCCCAAATATCAAGGAGAAATTAAAAATGCATGCCGTGGAAGAGTTCGGGTCTTAGGAGGTTAAATCCATCGCAGTACAGCAAACTAACCTGTTTATCCTGCACTGACCTGCAGAGTAGTTTCACACAACCTGATAGGGTGACCTAAAAAGTTGGACTCAGACGCAGGCTTCCAATGCTCAGTGAATTTATGTACAGTAAATGTCTGGCAGTACACTGTTTATGCTGTCTTTTTGATTTTGTAAAACTGGTGTGAGGGTAGAATTCAGTAAATGGATTTAAGCATCATTAGTTAAAATTTATATGAATCTCTGCTACACATGTAACCATCAAATCACAGCTGCTGTGCGCCAGTCACACACTGTTCTTTACTTTAAACCATCACAGTACAGCAGGCTAACCTGTTTGTCCTGCACCAACCTGCAAAGGTTTTTTTATGCAGTTTCTAAATAAGACTGTTAGTTTACCTCAGTTGTATTTGCAGCAAGTTTCACAATTTAAAGAAAAATATAATGTTGCATGTACAGATCCAATATCTGATTTAAAAACACGAGAACTTACATGTGAGCTTTCCATTTCCAGTTTATCAAATACTACTGAGCACTCGTCTTCCTCGGACCCCCGTCTCTTACTCCGACTCTCACCTGCCTTCTCAGTTCCTCCATTCATGATGGTAAAGAAAAACGCAGACGTGGCACCTTCGAAGGCCTCCATACTGATTGCTAAGTGAAGACTTGTGTAAAGGAGTGTCAAACAGGTGCTACAGTGATTTCATTCTGGTAGTTTTAAATAGTTAGGAATAGGTGATCCCTCAGCAACAGTCTGTGAGAATTTACTGTTATTTGACCTTGTCCTAATTTTCACTCCCTACAAAAACAACTCTCATCTCATGTGAATCTATAACTGTCTATTCTCTTTTATTCTGAGTGCTCAGTAGTGCAATTAACTATTAAAGTGATCTAAAATATATTACACTCCATACCATTTACCAGCAAAGGTATTGTAACCCAAACTTTTCTAGTCTACTACTAACTTAGTAGTAAGTCTACTAACTTTTCTTAAATTAGTAGTCTTAATAGTTTTTGTTTGGTTTAAAATTATATTCAGATACAAGTCTTGTTGTGAAAGCCAAATTTATCACATCTATGAACCAGATTATGGGCCTGCTAAATGTTGAACATCTAGGTTGGTTTTAAAGATGGGGAAAAAAGTAATTATCTTGTGCTTCCAAATAAACAAGTTAAATTCTATATCCACAATCAGAATCAGAAACATTTTGGGGTAGTCTATGATAAACAATGCCACATGCTTTATCTGGTCAGTGCTTATTAGAAATTGTAATGCCAAATACAGAAATAAAAATGTCGCAATACCACACATTTAGGAAACCATTTAGACATAGTGGTGGATTTTAAATCGCTAATTTTATTAATAAGTACTATATGTGTTAGTGTAATTTGGTTGTATGACAAGTATATTGACTTTCTATGTTATAAGTTCAAATCAAAGGATCAAGTCAGCTAATAAACAATTTTCTGTTTTTTTTCTCCCTCTACTTGCTTTTTTAGTTTGTTTGATGCTCAGACCAGCACCCAAAATACATAAAACTCTTACATGTCTAGAAAAGGAGCTTTTGGAAAGAAAGACATCAAGTGGTAAGTATTTTGATTTGCCAAAATATTAGTAATCTTCAGTGTCATTTATGTTAATCATGCTAAACTTTAATCATACTTTAGACCTTAACTTCTCGCTTTATTTGTGTGCTGGCTTTACTGATCTTTCCCTTTCTTCTGTTTTTGGACTTGAGATATGACTGCTCTATGCTGTTGCTGCTCCAGTACATTCTGCGAGAAATGCTGTGTAAGTAAATACAAACAACAACAGTTTGGTCTGAAGTTTTTGAAAGATCATATCCCATATCTGCTGTTTTTGAACAGCAAAATTATTTTTTGTGCCCAAATTATTCAGCAGATCACCAGAAATAAAATTTAGTGGCGATTTTTGCGTAGCCCTTTTAAAAAATAAGCTTTCACGACATTAATGTGTGTTGGATGGTGGTCAGGGTTATCAAGACTCACAAGTGGGACACTGAATGTCATCTCTGTACTGTATTTATTCTTATTGTATCCTAATTTTTGCCTCATAACTTTTGCACTGTCCACTTCCTGCTGTGACAAAACAAATTTCCCACGTGTGGGACTAATAAAGGTTATCTTATCTTATCTTATCTTATCTCCAGTGGGGAGTGAGTGCAGGAGGTTGAAAGATACTCATCTCAATGCACAGCTTGGCTATCTGCAGCTGTATGTTATTTACACTCAGTGAAGACAGGGGCTGAGCTGTCAACTAATCAAAACTCACAGGTCAGTTTGATCAGGTGGTGAAGGAGCATGCTGGACAGACCTGGCAAGCCCAATTGTATAGTGAGGGTGCACTGAGGATGCCTGACAGAGACCCCAGTTCAGCAGATCATCAACTCCCAGTTTCACAGCATTCTGAGGGAGGCTAGGTAGTTCTGCACTTCCATAGCTGGTTGCTGCTGCAAGGAGCAGTGGTCACAAGGTGGTTGATGCCTGTCATGGTCGTAATTACCATCAAGCTGACGAGGGGTCCTGTTGGGCTTGGATAACCATCAGGTGGCGGATCCGGCTATCTCTGGAGCAGTTCACAGCTGAGTATGGAGCAGTGGGAATATTAATCATCAACTCTGTGTTCATGGTCCTCAGCCGGAAAAGAATGAAGTGCCCAATCTACATCAGGGATGAGTTGCTGCCTCAAGTGGAGGACTTTATGTATGTCAGGCTGTTGTTCATGAGTGAGCAAAGAGGGGAACAAGCTATCGACAAATGGACTGTTGTGGTGGTACAGACATCTGACAAGAATGATTCCTGTGCGTCTGTTGGGTGAAGTCTTCTGGCCATGTGCTAACACGAAAGGCCCCGGAGCAGAACCAGGACCTGCTGGAATTTCACTGGAGGAGGGGAGAGGGAGGGGATTCTTTATTTAGGCTGCCAGCTTCCTTGCAGATAAGTGTAAGAAAATTGATGGGTGTATGGATGGCATAATTGTTTATGTCAAAGTTACAGTATTTCTTTGGTAATAGTGTAATAATGCAGATTGTCAAACTTAAGATCTG